TATTCTGGGAAGTTGGATTCTAATTTAAATTTAACTATTATTCTACCAAGAGACCACATCTTTATGTAAACTTCTCCCTCTGCCAGACAGTTAGAAAAAAGAAAAGGCACATTTTTTTCAGGAAATGGCTCACATCTTATGAGATGCATAGGATATTAAAAAAAAAGTGCTTTGAACAAGATACAGAAGCTGCAAAAATAAGCGTGTTTGCATTGGTGGGCTACTGTATTTGTGAATACAATATTTTTCTATCTTTTTAAATGAATAATGCTAATATGATTCCTCAAAAGAAAACAGTGAGAATTTAAGAAGATACTTATACATATTTTGTACAATTCAAAGGGGCTTTCTTTTGCTGAAAAGTGCTACTGATAAAGGCTATTTCCATTTAAGTAATTACAAAGGGGAATCTCAAAATATATTGCATGTTGTCTTACATTTAAATCACAGTTTAGAGAACAAACATAATTTGACAAATTCTAATAGCACATGTGAAGGAAGTAATAGCAGTAAATAATAAAATAAATTCAAAATCATAGTTGTTTACGATTCATGTGAAGAAGTAAACAAGAATATTGTATTTGTTTATATAAAGTTGTTACCTGCTTCACTCACAGCTCTTGTGGAATCAAATGCTTCTCAGCAGTATTAGGAACAACTGTCCCAACATGAACAAGAAAACACTCAATAAAAAGCAGTTTAGAAGCATTGTACACTGCAAAAAATATTCACCTGTCTGGTTTCAGAATAAATAAGACCTAGAAAATATCTTCATGCTTATGTGTTCTAAGTTCATCAGCATCTGTTACTCCACTAGAAAAAGAATTGGTAGAGAAGTGGCAGTCTCAAAAATAACATATTCTTTCAAGTTTCAGGAATAGAAATGGCTGAATAAAAGAAATATGTTAATACTGGTACATCCACTGAACAAAGGATTGCAGTACTTTTAAGGAATGCGTAAGAATCCATGAAGAAAAGGAGTGTAAGCCTTGATGAGATAGAATAAAGCTTCATTAATGTTGCTGATCATGGATTTAGATTACTTATTTCCATGCATTCACTCCTGTGCACTTAGGTGTATTACTATCTGAACAGCGTACCAGAGGAAAGGCTAAAATCAGACTGGGAATGAGGAGCTTTTTTTCACCCAGAAACCTGGTCTCCAATAAAAACCTTATCTCATTTTCCTGTTCCATCAAAACAACGCAGTGTGGACCCTCTCTTCTTTGCTGACTAGCTGTCCATGGCAGATGGAAAGTGTTCGTTAGAGCCTACATGAACTCCAAGGGGTTCTGCTACAACTTGCACTTGAGCTGAGGAATGTCACACACTGGGCTAAGTCCTATTGTACTCTAACTCCACTAAAGCTAATGGTCTTTCCTCAGAGATGAAGATGATTCCCCGAATTTAGGCACAAATGAGAGAAGACATCACTTAAGGGAGCAGAGATGTGGCCAAAATGAAATCTGAAACCATGAGGTGCTTTTCTTGTTTCAGTTTATCTCTTGGCCTAGAAAGAATTCTGTAGTTAGGATATCCATGCCCTTATCTAGGCTGGATAATATATGCACAGGAAAACATGCTTCCAGCCTGTGTGGCTTTCTCTTTCTCCTTTCTGTTACCTCTATCTCACTGTAACTAATCTCCCCATTGGGGAAAAAGAAAAAAACAAAAAAAACCAAAAACAAACAAACAAAGAAACCCAACAGTCTTCATTTCTTTCTTTTTTGCCTCAACTGAAACCATCCTTTTCCTATGAAAAAAATAATTAATTAATTAATGCTTTATTGGGTCTCAGAAGGGTTATACGTGTTCATAATTAACTGATATGTATCTGATACCTGGCTCTTGCCTAAGCATACTTGGGGCCATCAGCTGAAAGTGCAGGCAGAGTTGGCCTTTAGGGACCACAGTGCCTACAGCGACAAGATCCCAGATTCCTCTCCTGACTTTACTTCCTGCCTTCATGTTTCCAAAGTCCTGCAAGAATTTGTGCCAGCAGCATCAGCACAGGGCACTCACATTCAGCACAGCTGTTCAGATTCATTTGGTGCCTCTAGATGGATCAGGCTGGTTTCTGCGTGAGGTATCATCAAGTACTGTGTGACCCCAGAAGACTGCTACTTAGATCACAAAACACAGAAAATAGGGGTGGAAAGGGAGTTAGTGTTAAAGCTGTATGTCAGGGTAGAGACCTGAAAATAAATGATGCTTATGTCCTTATCAAACTTCCACGCAGGGTAACATTTTTGAAGTGATTCCCAACTTTGTGTTTGTTGGTCATGACAACGTGAGCTGACTTATCTTAGATGATAGCTGAAACACAGTGTGTCTTTCTCTATAGCACAGGTTAAATAAAGTGGAACTTTCCAACTCATCAGACATTATAGAGATTTGTGTGTACCACTCAAAAGTTATTTCACCAAGCCTTTATCGTTGGGCAAAGTGATGGCTGTCATATCTTCTTAAATATCTTCTAGCAAATTCAGTTTGAGATGTATGTATTCATCTGAAAAATGCACCTCACAGCTTTGGACTGAATGGCATCAAGTAGAGATAAACAAATGTCTCAATGGAAATATCAGAATCAGTGGTCATTTAGGTAAAATGTGCACAGGCTGCCTGTGAGTGCACAATGTCATGCAGTGCGTGGGAGGTCCTTAGTCTACAGGCATTTGTTATATACAGCGTATAGAGGATGTATGATGGCTGCCTGGAAAGTTATGTCTACTATTTTATTATGGTGGCCCTCGACATCAGAGGCAGATGGTGGTAGGGCAGTTGAGGTTGAACCTTTCCACCAACATTCTGTTGCATTTTGTTGCCATGTCACAGATGGCAGCAGAGAGGCAGACTGACTATACAGCATCTGACATGGAACTACAATTCTGTGATTCTGTGATTCTGTGAACTGCATTTTGAAACAAAAGTGTGGAATTTAATTCCTTCATGTGGAAAAAATAACATTCATTGACACTTACTGAACTTTATGGAGACCAAACAGTGGATTTGAACACAACAAGGTGGTGGGCAGTGTATTTCAGCAGTAGCAACAGTGGCATGGAAGACAAGCCGTGTTGCACATGGCCATGTGGATTTTTATGAGCACAACACGCAGGCTCTTGTTCATCACTGCTGAAAATGCATAGCTAATGGTGGTGATTCTGCTAGAAAAATAAATAAATAAATAAATAAATAAATAAGCAGAGAATTTGCTCTGTCAAATAGTGGTATTGTACTCTTTATCTGTTGTACTTCCATGGAAATAAATAGGTGTGACCCATGTATGATTAACATGGGCCAACTGGAAGCCTCTGCAAACTGCCTGAAAGTTGACTAAACAGAAAAAAATACTCACCTGATAATATTTTGCTGAGCCACCTGGCATCAGGAGGTGGCAAGTTCCTTCAAGTCTGTAATGAGGAAGTGCTGAATGAAGGAGCTGTGCCTTGCAAGGACATGCTAATCATCTCTGTATAGCCAGCCCACAAAAAGACCTCCCTTCAGAAATGCTGTTGGTAAAGGTCTGTTATTCAGATGGCAACAGGAGGTCCCTCTTCATACCCTTTCATATCCTCCCAAGGGATATGCTAGTTCTTCTGCAACACTAAGATACTTGAATGTGAAGAACAGCTGCTCATCCCTGAGGCAGTGCCAGGACTAGCTGTGGTAAGGGTGGGAATGGGCTTGGGAAAGGAGCTTCCAAGCACCTCAACAAGTTGTCAGTGAAATAAACATCCATGACATAACTACACTGGCCGTGTATTACGGGGCTGAGTGCACCTGACAGTGCCCAAGGCAGTTCCTGAGATTTTCTTGAGACGGTGGCCAGGGCTGTTGGTAACTAATTGAGTACATGAAAGATGACGATGGGGACACAGCCTCTCCGATGAGCCAAAGGCACATTCCATAATCATGTGGGTGCAAAGCCCATTCACATAGATCCTGTTCCCTATTCATAAGTTGGCATAGCCCCCTTCCTCCTCCTCTTCCTCAGGGCCCCTGTGTGCGGCTGTGCATTTCAGCACAGATTCCAGAAATCCTGGAATTTCAGCAACTCCGTGACACCTCCCAGTACTTGAATTCCAGGAGCTGCCTTCCCCTGTTCTGCTCACCACACCACTCACATCATGGCAGCAACCATCAGAAGAGGAGCGGCAGCAGGGACAGGGAGGTGATCGCCCCTCTCTACTCTGCCTGGTTGGATGCCTGGTCTGTTTAGGTTGGACGTCAGGGGGAAATTCTTCACAGAGAGAGTGGTGAGGTGCTGGAACAGGCTGCCCAGAGAGGCTGTGGATGCCCTGTCCACCCCTGGAGGTGTTCAAGGCCAGGTTGGATGGGGAGCTGAGTAGCCTGGGCTGGTATCAAATGTGGAGGTTGATGGCCCTGCATGTGGCAGGGGGTTGGAGATTCATGATCCTTGAGGTCCCTTCCAACCCAGGCATTCTGTGATTCTGTTGTTCAGCGACCGCAGCCCCCAGCCGCTCTCGCTAACACGCAGGACACAGCCTCCACCTGTGCAGGGGCTGATCTCCTCCGAGAAGCGCGTCGTTGTTATGTGCTTCACAGACTCCACCGCCGTAACCCCACGGCCGTAACCCCACGGCCCATCCGCCCACGGCAGAGATAGGGTCGAGCAGCCGGACAGCGGGGCGGCGCCGTGACGGGCACCGCCTCTCCCCGCCCTCAGCCGCCTCGGCGACGCCGGCCCTCTTTGTACCGCCGGCCGGTCAGCACGCCGTTTGCCGCCTCGCTTCTCCGCAGCACTGCCCGCCCGGCTTCGACTGCGGCCGGGAGCCGCCTCTGGGTGGAGGCGCGGGTCGGCCCGCCCCTGCCCGTGTTCTGCTGCGGAGCTTCCCCATTTCCTGCCCCGCCGGTCCCAGGGCTTGCCGGCCCTGCCCCTGTGCCGCCCGTTCGTCTTGCTGTTCTTCCGCGCGGTGTTCGCGTTCCCGAGCCGCCGGCTGCGTCCTCCCCGGCGGCGGGCATGGCGCCGTTGACCGCGCCCGTACGCGTCTGAGGCGGCGGGGGTGGCGAGGACGAGGCGAGATGAGGCGCCTGCAGCCCGGAGCCGCGTTGCTGCTGTCGCTGCTATGGGAGGTGAGGTTCCGAGACCCCGCGGCCGCCGGGGCGCGGTGCGGCGGGCACGAAGGAGGCATCGCGCGCCTGTTCGCGGCGCGGGGCTGGAGGCCGAGGCGGGAGGCGCCGGCAGCCCTCGAGGAGCCCGCGGGGCCGGGGGTCGGGCCGTGACCTGAGGGCTCTGGACCCGTGGAGAGGAGCTGCGGGCGCCCAAAGGGGAAGTGCGCGGCCGGCTACCGATCTGCTCTGTAATTGTCAGTGCCAGCATTGAGCTTTGCGGTCCTCTTTGCGCGGAGCCTGGTTACTCGAGTTTTTAATTCTGATTTTAATGGAGTCTTTTGTGGTGGTGTGTTTTGGGTTTTTTTTCTTCTTTTCTTTTAATCTAGAATGTTTGTTTTGCCGTATGTGTCTGTGGATTAGTGTTATGTGTCTATTTTCGGAAGCTTAAGGTAGGCTGTTAGATAAGATGTAAATAAGAAATTACAACTTAAAACGGTTGAAGTTGTGTTCTGCAGGACAAGAACACCCAGAAACTGAGCACTGCGAGTTCAGATAACTGATCAGAGACATTTGGCTGTTCCCAAGGGTGTCTGGCATCTGAAACTTCTGCTGCACTCTGTGCTCACTTCCACACTGGCTGTTAACTGAAATTGCATTGCTGTTTGTTGTTTTTTTTTTTCAAATCCATTTGCGGCTTCCACATGGTCTTAGTTAATATTTAACGCAGCATGAGTTGAGATGTATGCTTTTAACTGAACGTTTTGCAGAAGGCTTTGATTATCGTTCAGATAGCTGGGGAGGAAGATGCGTAGCCATTCGGAGCAGTTCACAGTAGTTTACTGGTAGTTGAAGTTCTCCTCATTAAGGGACTTAAAATGCTTGTTGTAAGGTGAAGATGCTCTTTCTGTCAATGCGTTTTCTGAACCAGGAGTTCTCCTTATACCAGTAAAGAGAGTGAGCTCCAGTTGGATGCGTGTTCACACTGATGAAGACACATGCAGGCTCAGGAATGTGGAGTGCTTCCCTGTGACTTCCATGCTGAGCTCGGTCATTAAGTAGCTGTGCTGCGCTGCTCTGGGGAATCATGTCTTGTATGCTGTGAAGTCTGTGAAAGGAGAGAAAATGGGAAAGACAGGCTGGGGAGCCTGCATCAGCTGCTGAGTTATTGCACTGAGACAGTTGTTACTGGAGCAGGATTTACACATAAGGAATTCCTGGTTCCTGATCCTTTGAGAGCTTGGAATATACTGATTACAGGACCACTTGGAGGGCTGTATTGGTAGTAAAGAGTGATTAATTCAGAGTTTTAACAAGAATTTTCTACCTTTGTCTTTTACAGCACTTTTTTTTCTTTCCCAACCCCTCAATAAAGAAAACCCTTGCTTTTCTAACCTGAGTATTGATGCTGAGAAGATGAGAAGACATGCTGTTAGGAGAGAGAAGCTGTAGATGCCATAAGCTTTGCTCACAGTTTAGTCGCTGACTTACTGAACATGTGAGCTGAATTAAGGAACTTTTAAAGATGGATTACTTGATAGGTAATTTTGGCTCTTGCTGGAGAGAATGAATGCTGCTAAGTATTCATCCGTCTTTCTTTTGCAAACTGTTTCAGCTACCTGGAGGTAGCAGTGTGTTATTAAGTAGAGTTGCCTGGAACACCCTTTTTCATCAGGAGCCTGGGGTTCCGGTGGACTGTTGTGCATTCAGTATTTACCAGGATATGTATTCAGCTGGTAGTCCTGCTCTCTGGTGCAGCTCATGGTTGCCCTGGCAGGACTTTCTGTACGAGTCCAGGGCTCTCAGTTCTTTGGAATAATTTGAGGAATGCCTTAAAGTATGTCAGTTTGGCAGTCTGGGCTGTATAACAAGATTTTCTGCTTTTATTTCTTCAGACATCTCAAGGCTTGTACGCATTTGGCTTTAATGGGTAGCACTGCCTTTTGGATAGGAAAAAAAAATAGCCTCTGCCTGTATGATTCAATGAGGTTGTTATCAGCCTCCAAGTGTGCACAGCAGTATCTCCTGCTGAGTTGTTTGTCAGGATGGTGCCTTTTTCTCTCCTGCAGCTGTGGGTGTGCTGGGCTGCGAGTGGGTGTCTGATGCTGAACTCATGGATGGAAGTGCAGAACTGAGCTGCACAAGTCGCAGCCTTCACCAGGACACTGCACACAGCATGGTGGTAATCAAGGATGGGGAGGTAGTTGTGCCAAGAACAGCCCCGATGGTGGCTTGCTGGGTAGCCTTGCTTCACAAAGGTGTCATGTAACTTTAAGTGCATAAGCTTCTGGTTGGCTGTTGCATCCAAAGTGGCCTAGGAACTGGTAAAAGCCTGAACTTTTTTTATTAAGTCAGTTTTTATTTTTAGTCAAGCTTTTTAGTGCTCTACTTGAAGAAATACCCATGGAAGCTGTTGTAAATGGTATATAATGTCAGCTGGAGAAATTTAAATGTGGCAATACAACATTTAGATGATCTCTTCTGGAAATACTGGAACTGGGATTTTGGCACACAGTTTCTCCTTATTAGCAATTACTACGTGTATGCTGATAGAAGTATTGATAATTGGTTGGCTGGGAAAAACTATGATCAGTGTAGTTGTCTTCTTGTTAGTTTACCAGATGGAAGATGCTGCAAAAGAGTCAAGGTTGTTTTTTGTTTTTATTTTTTGAATGAGGAATGGATGTAACGTGAACAGCAAAATGCTTTAAATAAAATTCAAACACTTCTGACAGTCTGTCATGCAAGATTTATTTAAATAAAAGCAAAGTTGGTTAGTTTCTTCCCAACTGGGTAAGCACTGTCTCTTTATTATCTTTGTAAATGGAGTTCAATGGGGCAGATTCTAGCATATAAAGTTAAGCTAGAATCTCTGCCCACCAGTAAGGGAACAAGCACAGTAAATGACTAAGAATGCAAATCTTAAAGAAAAAGAGCAAAAGTGCACCAACTTCTGATGGTAGCAGGCATAGGTAAGGCTCAAGGAGTTGTGAGCATCCTTTCACAACAGCACTCCAGGTTCTGATGCTGTTTTAGCAGCTGACTGTTGGCGTTTTCCTTTATGTTACAGGAGTGTGTGCGCACTCCCAGGTTATCTCTACAATGTTCCTCTCTGTGAAAGCCCCCTGATGTTGTCCTGTTGATGGAGTGCTGAAGTTTAGCTACTCTGGGCTTTGCATCAGTGAGTGGTGAGAACAAAAGTCCCATCCTTCAACTTGATCAAAGTATGCCTTTAGAATTAAGCTGCTCTTCTGGAATTTAGCTAGAGTGAACTGGCGGGGGGAGGGGAAGGCCCCAAGGAACTTTGGTTTATTGCAGAATTATTTTGGCTTACTCCAAATGGAAGAGGCTTAGGAAAAGCTGGAAAAAATATGCCCTCATACAAGTTTGCCCTGCTCAATTGTGTAGGTTGAGTCTATGAACAGGAACACAGTAATGCTTGAGCTTATACTATTGCATTAAAAAATTCTGATTTCTTGCTAAAACGAGATGCACTTCTAATCTGTTGTGATTTAAAGTAATATCCATTTAAATAAAACATACAGAAAACCTCCATGCAGTTGCCATCCTTGTTTGTGAAAATGTGTCATTGTTTTGTGTCCTTAAGTGTACCTCTTTCCAGTTTTTGTGTTTTGCTGAAATCTTTGTTGTTGTAATCTCTTTATAGTTTATTGTGGTAAATAAAAACTTTATTCTGAGTAGAAAGAGGTGAAACCGTTCTAAAACCATGTTTTTTTTCTTTGCTTGAGTAGTGCCTTTTGGGCAACAATACTAGCTTTATCAAAAGGTGAGGGCATGATCCAGAATTGGGGGATGTTAAAAGAGCCCTGCAAAGCGAGGGACAAGACAAAGTCTCAAGCAGTGGATTTTATTGCGTTCTTGACATTGGTAAAGTACTACCAAAAAAAAAAAAGTTTTTTTATTTTTGTTTTTTGAGAACGACGTGTCTTGACAGCTTTCTTGCATATTAAGTGGAAAAGTTTGCACTCTGAAGTTAAAAATGTATTTCTTTCTCAAGTGTGTCTTCAGCTCTCTGCTGAATGAGTGTTAACTAAATCCAGGTTTTAAATAACTTGATGAAAAATCTTTTCCTCTTTCCCTGTGACTCAACTGTCAGTCTGGCAGATTTGGGGAAGCAAGAGAAATGAGGAAAAAGTGCTTTTTTTTTTTCTTCTATATCGGATCTAATGCTGTGTGCTTCTAGCTCCTGTGCTAGCTGCCAGCTTCTTCAGGTCTCTTTACTGTGCAACTGCAGATGAATTGGATTGGCCCTCATCAGCAGTGGGAAACAGCCACCAAGAAAAAGCTGAGGGGAAAAAAAGCGAAGGAAGGAGTTTCCTTTGCTTCTAGAGAGGTTGGTACAGCAGCATCATCGCCAAACTTGCTGCAAGAGTAGAGGGGGAATACACGGCTGGGAGCAAGGCTGCCCATTTTGGTAGTATGCTTATTTCTGTATGTTAGATGTCACCTTTGGACAAAGTTACCTGCATTCATAATGATCTGTAAGGAGCAGAAAACAGTGGATCTTCTATGTGCACAGCTTAAAGGGAGAACTGGCGGAGTCTTTTTTATTTTCCATTGAAAGATGCTATTAGTTGAGACAAGCTTTTCTAGAAGCTATTCTTTTGTTTTCCCACGCTACTTGCCAAGTGTCTGTTGGAGCAGAAACGCTCAACGCGGAGCTGATGATCTTCCTGACCTTTCTTTTTCTGAGGGGCAGGCAAGGGGTTGTGGCTGGAGAGCATTTTCCCAGAGCATCAGCACAGGCAGGGCTGTACATCTCGAGTCCAGCTGGCGGGTGATGGCATGCCCAGCCTTCCTTCAGTGTTCCTCTTTTGCCTTAGCTGGCATTTGTTCTGAGGGTGAATCCTTCCTTCTCAGTTAGAGTGGAGTTAGAGATTATGATCACCAAGCATGCAGATCATATCTGCACAAGTCTTATGTTCAAGTACACTAGGTTAAAGCAAGCACATCTATCACACCTTTGCAACTCTCTACTGAAGTATATTTCCTGTCTGCATTAT